CCCCCCCCCCCCCCCTTTTCCCCAAACCAAAAAAGGAGCCCCGATATCGCTGATTTTTTAAAGTTAAAATGTAGCTCGGTTGAGAAAGCATAATAGGCCACTCTACCATGACTTGTGCCACGAAATATAAGATTACGCCAGTAAAAACAAGTGAATACAGAAAAGAGAGGAGCAGCCCACACCCGAGCGCCCACCATGAACCACCTGAAGGAAAGGAGCAGTTTTGTGAACCGTCATCACATCATGTATAATATAAAAATGTCAGTGTCAGGCTGAGACACTTGAGTTGTGATTGTTTGGCTATTATTGTTGAGGATGGGGTTCGGAAGGAAAACAAACTGAGGAGACGAACTCAATCTAAAAAAATTACCAAACAGTGGATAACTTAGGGGAACAGGGGTTCGGAAGATAGAGGGAGAAAACGGGGGGGGGGAGAGACATGCATACAGACAGACAGAAATGGAAAGAGGGGGGAAGGGAGGGAGACAGACACACAGACAGACAGACAAACAGAGAGTGAGAGAGAGACAGCCAGAGAGAGGGAAAGAGAGAGAGAGAGAGAGAGACAGACAGACAGAGAGAGAGAGAGAGAGAGAGAGAGAGAGAGAGAGAGAGAGAGAGAGAGAGTATCTTTAAAAACTTCAAAGGACGAGCATAAAAGAGATTTCAAGAACTGTTTTAGTGAAGATCGTCAACCGTTTCTTTGCAGTTGCTGTAACTGCTATGTATTATGTTTCTCGTTTACAGGTCTAATAGTTACCCACAACACATTAAACACGCAGAGACGCACATACACATACACAAACACACATACACACTCACACACAAACACACACAGTGACAAACGCTCTCGCACATACACACACACACACTCACACACACACACACACACACACACACACACACACACACACACACACACACACACACTTTTTACCTCCCTCAACCTGTCTCACATTATTTTAAAACTAGCTATATTATTTTACTTCATAGACTTGCACAATAAAGATCACGCCATTAACTGTTATGAATTCAAGGTTACTGTAGCCCTCCCTTTCAATTGTTTTATGTAGGCCTACATAAGCTTAGTGAGTAAACAATAGCCTTGGAATTAAATGTTCTCTCTCTCTCTGTCTTTCTCTCTCTCTCTCTCTCTCTCTCTCTCTCTCT